GATGTAAGCATGGAAACCATTTTACATTTCTTCAGTTGAAAATACTACCAACATTGATTTTGAAAGGAAAATATGGATGAAATTTTACATGTAAGATTATACTTTGTTTTATTTGAGTGATCCTGTGTTAAGAGACTCTTCAACACAGGTAGAGGACGATACAAACAGGCCTTTGGGACTCAGTAAAGAATGACCATGACTGCTTAATGGAGATGAACTCTTAAAAGAGGTGAAATTACTGTCATTTGGGGGTAAAAATTTCAAGACTTTGAACACCCACCAAGTTATACAGGGTCACCATTTAATACAGTGCTGCTAAATACAGGTTCAACTGTACTTCCCAAGTGCTACTGCCACCAAATTTTACTTGATTGGACCTCTTGACTGGTAAAATATCATCTTTGCTCGATTTTTATTATTCTTAAATATTTTACTCAACACGCACCTAACTGGCCCACTGATTCCTGAACCAAGCCTCTTGCTCCAGTCAACAGTGTAGTCATCTTCTAATGGTGTGGTCTGTAATGACAAATTTTAACATATCAGCAAAAAAAAGATATCTCACAAAATAATGAAATTAATAAAATATTCATTACCCATCAAAAGTTGCAATTAAAAGAATTTTAATTCTGAAGGGTTGTGTTTCATCCACAATCTGCACGTGTGGAGATAGAAAGTAGTACTTATTTAAATAAGCTTTTTTCCTCAATGAAAACTCAATCATCTAACTGATTTTTGCAGTTTATTTCTAAGAATGAATCTAAAAGAATAAGAAACCTCTGTTCCCTCTACTATTAAAAACCCTACTTCATGACCCCTAATATTCCAGAGTTATTCCTCTCACCTTCCTGTACTATGAGTGTATCTACTTAAGGGTGGAAAATTACATGACTGTGCAAGATATCTAACATAACCCAATTCCCTTGAATGATGGAACAGTTTACTACAAAAAGGTTATCAAGTAATTTTTTTTACATTGCAGACACTTAAAATTTAATTACCTGAAATTTCTCGTTCTAAAGAAGCGGTCATTTGAGTGTATAGTAACAGTTTGATACATGGATAACTTGAAGAGCATGGTTATTGCACCACCACAGAACAGCAAGCTAAACAAAATTGGTGTCCGCCCAAAGAAATTTTCCTTGCTCTTTAAAATTCTTGAACTTCAACTTACCAGACGCGCTGGTTACTGTATTGATTAGGTAACGTCCAGTCACTCTTTAATCTCAAAGCCTCAAATTTTATTCCTTAGTTCACTTTCTAAACGTGGAAACCCCCGCTAGCGCGGGCATAGAAACTATTCTTCTAGCTAATAAATATGTATGAGCGCCCCTCATCACGAGAAAAACTGTCAGAAAGAACAAACCCATATGATTCGTGATCAATTCCCACCACACTTTTGCAAAGCATTTAAAAGACGATTTAAAACGGATACCTTAAATTGAAGTTCTTCTCGACGTGACGCGTTCGCCATCTTAGAATTCTCTTCCCAGACGGTGATATATCTTATTTCTCATACAAGAAGAAGGATACGTTCTGAAGTTTTCCGCATACATATAGTACCGTCTGAACATAAATATCTGAGTTTTGATTGGTTCGTACCGAGACAACATTGCGTGTTAGACTTGCATGGAAGCGAGGTTAGGAGCGCAATTATTCGAAATCAAAACACGCGGATCGTAAAATTCGTTGGTAGTTTACAAATTGTTCTTTTTATTCCAATGGCCGAGATTCTTGAGGAATTCGATCAGCCATCTCCTTTACCAGTAGTATTTTGCCAAAAAATTCCACTTGAAGAATATGATCAGCACTCAGCAAAAACTACGCGGGCTGCACTGCAAGAATTGATGAATCATCTTGATTCAAACCCGGACGAATATTATAAGATCGTGCGACGAAAGAAAGCTGACAATCTAAAGTTGCTGCAGTTCATGAAAGTAAAGGTGATGAACAAACTGCAAGATGGTTACTTGGAGAAATACTTTCCCCCTGAACAGTGTCAGGAAGACCTCGAAAATTTAAAGCATGAAATGGCTTCCGCTTATGACTATGCTCAAGGTTCGTCAATTATTGCTCATGAAAGTCAATAAGTATTAAATTTTATGGCATCAAAAGCGTCACTATGAGAACCAAAGGGTTCATTAATTGATCTAATTTTATTTACTTTACGTGTATAGTAAGTAAAAGGTCTTTGATTAGATGACTGATTAAATGAATGAATAATATTTGAATTAATTTTTAAATAATTGAATGAATAAGATCGCTTGATCGTTTGTTTGTAGAAGTAAAAGCTAAGTAGATACAGTAAATATGATGATAATAACAATGACGATGGTGCTACAATATTTAGCTATGACTTATTACCAAGTCATGTGATGATAAAAATATAGGATCCAGTATAGTTATTTGAATAACGAATCATTAATTTATTGATTCATCGATTTTACAATTTCATGTACAGTTTCCTGCACGATTCTCTCAGCCATGGTTCCCTCTATTTACATATAAATCATGAGCAAAATTTCTTTACCCTTTGTTAAGATGGCAAGAAAACAGGTGTCAGGTTCTCTAGAAGGCTGGCAGAAAAAAGAAAACTCAAAGATCCTTTAGCCTCAAGCACCCCAAGAAGACCAGCACCAAGTGCACCTCCACCCCCTCCACCACCACCACCTCCTCCTATCATTAACATGGTAAGGCAAAAAGTATTTTACATTTTGCTTTTCTCAGTAATGAAAGATATAACAAAGAATCTTCTAACTCTTATGCTCTTTCAAAACCATAAAACACAAAACCTGGATGTTCATGATGTTTCCATGACCTACAGTCAAAGTGTTGTTCCCAAAATAAATGTGGAAGCAGTCATGTAATAAATATATATATATTTGTTGGTGCATCATAAGTTTCCATGACTTCCCATGCCTTGAAACTGATATTGTTATTTGTAGAGTTCTGTGACTTTCCAGGTCTTCCATTTACAAACTCAGATTGTCAGATTATATTTATTGTATTTTTTTAAGGGATAAACTCTGGGTTCTCTTCTTATTTTTTTACAACCAGTAAGACAAAAAAACTGAATAATTTGTGTATTTTTATTTGTAGTCTACAACTTCACAAGAGTTTATTTCTCCAGTGACTCTAAACATTCCTGTCAGGTAATTTAATAAGTAATTAAATCTGATCAGAACATCTCCTTTCTACCAGCTTAATTTTTTTTTTTGAAAATTTGCCTGGAGAATTTGAATTTGCATCAAGATATCACCTTTTATTGCTAAGTTTATCCATTCTCCGCATCTGTTTACAGAATTGCACAATGTTGACAATGCAAGAAGGGTCTACGCATTAGTCACTTCCATAATTAATAAATTAATTTGATTCAGTTTTTGTGGAGAGAGTTACAGTGACAGAGCAAAGGACAAAGAATTTCAAGTTAAATATAACAGACTTCTTATAACCGGTAAAGGATATGATATTTATCAATACAATGAGTAAAATGAAGATCAAAGAAAATAATAAAGTAGAATGGTGAGCTTTATACCAGACTCAAGTTTATAAATTTCTTTTTCACATGATAATCTCTCCACAGGGTAAAACAATCAGATTTCCCTGAAACACCTTCGGGAACTTTTAGTCATGAAAGAAGACTGTTGCAGGCAATAAGGAATGTCTCACCAAGGAGAAAACTGCGGGACAAAGCCTCTGAGCAGACCAAGCCTGCGTCATCAGAATTGAAAGAAAATAATGTCAAGTATGTGCACTTTGACTGAAACCTGCATCAGTAAGCATAACCATAATTTTCAAAGGAGGGTCACTGTGTCAAACAGAGGGTATTTGCCAGTTTTCACCACCTGAATATTGAGGATGTTTTGCATAAAAAAAGGCTTACAAAGTGGGGAAAGGGTCACAGGTACCCCAGGACTTCTCCCCTAGCTATGCCCTAGTGCACTATATGCACTCCACTTCATAAAGCTTATTTTTGCATTTAGGAATAAACTCAGTGTTTTTTTTTTTAATCCAACACTGTATATCATATTATATGCATAGGTAAGGGAATTTATAAGTAGTTAAAAGTCTACAAATAACTAGTGGGTCTAATGTTATGAACATGAGATTTATCTTACATTTGGGAGGCATACCAGTAAATCAAGTTTAGGTTTTAACTAGGCTACCTAGGAGTTATCATCACTCAGTGTGCTAATTTAAAATAATTTTAGATTTAGTAATTCAAGATAAGTATCCCATTGATCAAATCTTGACAGATTTAGGGATTATGATTTACACTTTAAACATAAATAGAATTAGAGAGATAGTGAGTTTTAAGTAAGGTAAAGAAATAGAGAAAGATGTTTTTCATCTTGTCATGAGCGTGGGAAAAAGAAAAAAATTCTGAGTCCCTGTGAGGAATGGAACCTCAGGCCTTTTGGATTCTGCGTTTCGATGCTCTACCACCGAGCCTTAGAGACTCTGGTGAGCAATACCCATTACAAAGTGAATATGACATGTGTTCTATATACAGCTAGGATCCGTAATGTAGATTGCATCATGTTTTATAAATAGAATAAGAAAGATGGAAGGTTTTTTTCTTTTAGCTGCATGCATAAATGCAGCCACCACCAAATTCCAATCCAACTGAGGGAATTAAAGAAACATAAACCATCTTTGAAAATGATAACAAACTGCATATTTGCACAAAATTTGAGGAAGATTGAAGCGCTTGCATTGGCAGTTTCATGAACTTTTTGTGTTCTTGCTGTTTTAAAATTTAATTTTTTAGTTTCTCTTTGAAAGATGTTAATTGTTCCTTGAGGAGAGACTTGTTATGGGTGTGTCTGGGGTAAATTCTTAGCTTAGTTAAGTCTTAGGTGGCTATATATTACTAGTAAAACTGAATGAACTTGACTGTTCTCATGTCAGTTCCTTTTTAATTACCCTTGATGATTTCATACTGGGAAGTTATTAACCTGAATTTGTGGGCTACCTTCAGTCATTACTTGCAGTTTACCTTTCAATTTATTTCTACAGTAACAATGCAAGTATACAGTCAATGAAAACTTCAGTGATAGAGCAGAAGGATATTGCAGCTGCCAGAGATAGCTTAAAAGCTACAAGAAGGTAGGTTGGGCAAGAACTGTCAACAAAACTGCAGAACTGATATTTCACCACTGGAAACAAGAACCGACAATTTCATTGTCTCTATTCTTTCCTCTTTGACCTAGATCAGAATAATTTTTTTTACTTTTTATTATCCATCTTCACATTCTGACTTTTTTCTCTTTTGGTAATACAGAGTTAACATGATGTATTCTAAGTAACCGTGGTATAATTATGCCCAAGAAAAGTCAAATAAGTCAAATAATTGGGTTTACATATTTGCTCTAAGTTAAATTCATGTCCCAAGGCAAGACAACACCATTTTTCTTGTAAGTATTCAGTAAGTCCCAGAAGATGGCCATCATATTATGTATTTCATGAAAACTTAACTTATCTCAATGTTCTTTTCCTCTGGCAGTTCCTCAGATGATTCTCCCTATCAGCTATCCAGGGCAAGAAGGAGGGAAAGTAACAGTGCACAGGAGGAAAATTATTCTTTGTTCAACATGGAACTGATAAAGAAATTTCATAATGCACGTAGTCCATCAAGCAGTCCATCTGGAAATATTACAGTGGCTGACTCTGGCTTTGAGAGTCCTTAACCCTTTAACTCTATGACGTGATTGACATATAACTTCTCCTTACAATATCCCTACATAATACAGCAAACAGGTAGTGAGAATGCTCAAACTTATCAGGTTAAAATAGGCCAATTTACAGTTGTGTAGTTAGTTGCCAAGCCTTTGATTTGGAGTGAGGCTGAAGGTGATCTTGTTGTGATGGAGACCAATATCTAGTTAGCATGATAACAAAGAAATTTGCATTTGAAAAGCAGCAAGGTTTTTATCATAACAAGGTCAACCTTAACCTCACTCTTGTTCAAAGGCTTGGCGACTAAAAAATGGACTATCGTCATCCTCATCCTCATCCAACACCAACTTCATGTAACAAATTTACATTGAAATGTGTAGCAGCTAGAGGGGAGAATTAATGATCAGATCTAGGTAGTTAAAGAGTTAAAGTACAGACCTAGATTAGCCACTCTTAATTCCATGGAAATACCATGTGCGCATTGTCCAATGAAAAAAAAAAAAAACCTGGAAGGAAATGCTAGATTCAGAAAAGGTTTTCTATGAGTAACTATATAAGTGCCAAACAATACTGTTATTATATTTCTCCTGTGCTACTCTCTTTTGTCTAAACCTTCAGTTCACAATATGTTATTCTCTCTCTTTTGAACACATTTTGTTTCTATCTTTCAAACTAGAGGGTGGGCTAGTCCAGATTTTGGGGACTTGATATTTTTTACTGAGATCTCACCAACCTTACTGGTAATTTTTTTGCCCAGTCACCCACTTCTCTCCACTGTGACATACATTGCAACGCTCCAGGGTTTAAAGAGTTGTAAAGTAAAATGAGAGAGAACAAAATTCTGCTGATAACAAGAAATCAGCAAAAGTAGAAATTTTAACAGAGGTAAAGGTATCTGGATCCCTTGATGAAAGACCGACTATGTGGTAAATGAACTTAGTATTATATTTGAGGGTATTAATTGGGTTAAATTTTAGTGCTACTAATGATTAACTATTTTTGTTGTTAATAGTTAATGTGGGAAGAAACAATTACAATAGGGGAATGCACTCTTGAGTAAGTAATATTTCAAAGATTATGCACAAGGGATGTAAAACATAGTAAAATTGCAATTTATTAAAAAAAAAAAAACACGCTTAAAGATTACAAATCAAGAAGTGAATTAGAAAGCTCATTCTAAGAAAAGTTTACTTCCTTGGATTGTTTATGTTATGGTTCGAGCTTTAATTATTTTTTAATAGCATACACCACTTCATGTCAACAATGCAACAAAGTGATAATTTTATTACATGTTAAGTTACCTGTAGATTAAGGATCTCACCTGAATAACATTGAATTGAAATATCAGTATTTCTTAGGTCATATTTTGAGATGAACAATTAATAAATTTACTGAAAAATAGATTTAACCACTTCTCCCATTTGTGTGTGTGTGTGTGTGTGAATATGGAAGACAGCAGACGCTTATTTCCTGGGAAGGTTGATCCTTCAGATGTCGCCTTTGCACGAGTCACTTAAGGGTTGGCCCTCGTTCCATCTCGTAAAAGGCAAATGAAGAAACTTTTGGTAGTTGCTAAATACATATGAACTTAGACTGTAAAGTGCAAGTGCTAAGAGCATTAGTTCCGTGACGAATGAAGGAGTAAAAATGTGAAATCTTCAATCAAGCTCGAGTCACTGATTAAAAGTTTAAGGTATTTAGTAATTAAGTCATAAATGTTTCGTAACACTTTCTAATTATGGCCACACAAAATATTTACGCATCAGTAAATTGACGTTTCGTCGTTCACTCTTTCGTATTCACTTCTTAAGAAATTCTGCTCGCCCTACTAAGCTGTTATACATTTCTCAGAACGCTACTTTCCTCCTCATTTTGTCCAAACCCGAACACGCGCATCCGTCCACGCCCATAGTTCATCTGTCCACTTGCGTACTTTATAAATTATTCAAGCGAATAACAAACCGCTGACAAACAGGTTTATGCTGAGCCTGCTTAGAAAAGAAAACATAAACATCCGGAATATGGCGAGGAAGTGAATTTAAATTCGACTTATGTAATCGCTGTGTTTGCAATGTTTTCACTACGAGTTTCATTATCCAAATTCCTTAACTGTTTTCTACACGTTCTTTGCTTCACTGTGCTTGTATTGGGTGACGTTGACAACGCGTTTATTGATGTGATGAGCCAAAGTGAAGACGGACAAAACAGCTCGTTTGTAAATGTTGTCGGAAAGTTCGCCAGAATCGGCGCGATAAAACAGGTCGAAGGAGAGTTAAATGAGGTAAGGTAACTCGATGCGATAACTCTTTGCATTGTTGAAATACGATTTTGTGTTCCACGGTTGTGAGGGAGGGTCAGATCAGTGATGTTGTTTTTATATTACGACGTTTTTTTTGAAAATATGTAAAATTGCATTGTTCAATGGTGTTATTTATTTGTCATTCTCGGGGCCGGTAATCGATCGAAACGATAGGAAATAAAGAACTTTACATGGGAAATCCTTATTTATTCAATAACGAGGTGTGTTATGGGTGAGCAACAATAATCTTTCATTTATCTTTCGGATATTTCGAATTTCAATGAAGTTGTCGGTAACAAATTCATCTAAATTTCCCAGGGAGAATTAAGAAACCACGGAGAACCAAGTGTTTGCAGCAAATGGCTTGGGTTTTTTCAACTTTTAAATGAATATACTTTCAAAGATCTGCCTCAGTTTTTCAAGGGTTAACTGTAACCCAGGTAACCCTCCTGAAATCAATGAAATCAGAAATGCAATAAACTTGGGGGAAAGACCAGCAGCAATATTTATTATATATTTTTAATCATATTGATCTCTAAGAGGTTTTTGCTCTTTATTGGTAATCCCACATGTTTATTTTTGATGAGCTGAATTACACATGAATTTTGATTGGTCCCTACCTATGATCTACTGGAGAGCAGATGTAGAGATGATTTCACATTCTGCTTTTTTAATACATAATTATATCAAATAGATTCTATGTTGCAGTGGGTCTGTTCATTAGTAGACCACAGAGGATGTCAAAATATGATACGAACATCTTGTTGACACAGTTGGCTGCTCCTCATGTGACACTTTTCTTTCAACCCACATTTTGAATATGTTATCCGTAATCTATCATTGACCAGATGCATGGCAACATGGAATCTACTGTTAAATAGATAAGGTAAGCATACAGTGAATAAGCCATAAATCAGGATAAATACTAAATACCTACTAATTTTTAAAAAGTGCAACTGACTATGTGTAGATAGATGCTTGTGATCCAGATGATTCTGAACAAGACCAAGATGAATCTCAAAGCCCTCAAACAGATGAAACACAGAGCTGGATTGGTGTTATTCACATTCCTGTCCTGGATTATTACAATGCTCGGGGATCAAAGTTCTGTCCTGTTTTGGAAAGGGTAAATTGTGATCTTTCACTGTTTACTTCCTGGTCAAGTTTTATTTATTTATTTTATTTACAGTAGTCTGAAGACACAAGTCATTCAGTAGTTAGCTCAACTCTTATATATTGTTATTATTTATTATCATTTCCTTATGATTATTATTATTATTATTATTATTACTATTGGTTTTTTAGGTTTTAAAGGATGGTAAAAGTGTCCTAAAATAATGTCACTCATTTGCAGCTTTATTCTTTGATTTATAATTTTGATCGTATGGAAAGTATTTTATGGATCATTGCAATGATCATGATCATCAAAACTCTAGCCTTCAACATAATTTTGTTGTGTTTAAGGTGAAGAAAGCAATGTTACTGGGTGCCTCAGCGATAATTATCATAACTTTGAATCACAGAGTGTTTAGAAAGGTATGTGTTATGTAATCTGAAATGCATTTAGTAACCCTTTGGATCAAAGGTATCTTGGTGCCTTAAAAAAAGGAAGGAAAAATGCCACAGAAAGTTGAATATTTGTTTTCACAGTAACTTAGGTTTTTCTCTTCGATTTGTAAAAGATTCTGAAACTCACTATTCACTTCATTTGGTATGGTACTTTAGGCTTGTTATTGGAGGATATTGGCAGACAAGGAAGGAAAGACAGTTAGGAGGGTTAAAATATAAACATTTGTGTCACTGACACTTTTTAAGCCTAACAAAAAAGACAAAAAATGCAAAAATGAAACAGAAAGGAGTAAAAGTGAAGAACAGTTCCCAAAAGATACTGTTGGCCAACCATCGGCCAACTGTCAACTGACACTTGGACAACAGTTGGCCAACTTTGTTTTTATTACTGACTGTCGGTAATGTGTCGGTAACCTGTTGGCCAACAGTTGACCGACAGGTTACTGACAGCCAAAAATGGGAACCATTGTTCACTATTACCCAGAAAGGTAGCCCACAAAACTTCCTCCACTTGTGTAAAGTTTATGTTATCAGCAGAATGACACAGTTCCATGGTATTTAGCATCCAAAACTCTCTGTTTTTACTGTAGCTTGACTTAGCTCAAATGTTTTCAAGACCCATCATAATGGTAAATGGAACTAACAGTGTTTCTAAAGTATTGGAGGCCTTCAAAAAGTAAGTTTACCAATAATCAAACTACTGATATTTCATTCTTTTTTTCTTTTTTCAAGTCAGTAATATAATCTAAAATTTGGAAGCAATAAACTTAAAGGCATAATTTTATCAGGGTTCTTGGATTAAACAAACCCCCTCCCTCCCTCCCCACCCCTGTTTGGTAGGAAAATTAATCATTTGTACGACCAGAGCAACCTTTTATAATTCCAAGTAGCTTGGAGATTAATTGTGAAATCCTCCACGTGAAACTCCTGCCTTTCTCCTTGAAACTGTGGGAAAGTATTCTTTATTTGAAACATCTAGCTGTATTATAAATAGTTTTTTTATATACCATTGTTTGTTTTTGCAACATCTTACAACTGAAACTTGATGAGCAAGTGCCATGGTGTTTTGATATGCCTTTGTTCATTTGATAACTGTACTAAAACTTCTATATCCTTGTATTTACAGTGGAAAACACAATCTGAGAGCAAAGATTTCCCATAACTCGTCTGTGGTTGAATTAAAGGTTAGTTCAAGACCATTAGTTTACAATAAGTAAACTATGTTTATTTTTTTATTGCTCTAAGTAGCAATGATTGTTGCAGATGGCAAGCAATTTCTTTTCCCCACATACAGGCTAGGATCAACATTTATCTCTATAAAGCTGCACAATACTCATTAGCTTCCCCTTGGCGATCAAAAGGCAACAATCCTCAGTTCTGTTTTGTCAGTTCTGTCAAATCCTGGCTGGCAGATTCAACACACATTTGAGGGTTAAACCATGATAGAATTTCTTATGTCTTGTTAGTTACTTTCCACGCTTACACTTTGGGCTACCTGTGGTCGGCCCAGTGGATGGGAAGGTGTGGTTTGCCTGGGAAACCCTGAAAAAAGCTCAGAGGTAACGTGTTCAGTGTCATTACCATTTGTCTCATTAACATCTTTTACATTATATACTTTCAAGTTTGTCATTTACCTTCAAACTCTTAACATCTCTCGCTTTGTGCAATTTTACATACATTCCTTTTCAATATTAGGACGTTTCACAGTATCCCACTTGTGCAAGAATAACCTAGCATATATAATACTTGTAAGTTTTTGGAACATGTAAATGATCTCAGTAATGTGTATTTAAAATAGATAAAGTTGAAAGAATACACTGAACATCATCGATCTTTTTTTTTTCCTGTCCTTAGGAGGTGAACTCTCAATTCACCAGCTCTGCTGTGTTCTTTACGTCAGTGCTGTTCTGTCTTTTAGTTTTCAAGGTACGTTAATGTATATCACAGAATTTTTAGCTTTCCCTCTCATAAAGAAAAAGAAAAATTTTCACTGACCTAATGTTACGCGGGTGGTTTGATGAGCACAAAAAAAAACGGAGCAAATTGAAAAAGATGATGCATCATCTCACAAAGTATGGCGACAAGGCAGCCTCTGTAAAGAGGGCCACCTAAGTATTACATGACGATGTACTTTAAGGAATATTCTGAAAGGGCAAGATGAGAGAGGAAGAGTAAAAGTAAAGTAAGCCTAGAGTAAGAAACTTTCCTTTATGCTTGACTTGACAGACTCAGCTTAGCCAGTTTCTTCATAACTATTGGATTTCCAAAAAAGAGGTAAGGAATCCACACGAATTTTTGTTAGCCGTGCGCTTTTTGATTAACTGCAACTATTACTGTCGACTGCCAATCAGAACAAAGAAGAATGTCAGAAGAGACCAATGCGAATTAACTCAAAGTGGCGGATACTTGTAATCGACATCAAGTACAGGAAAACACAACGTAGTTTACAAAGGAGCACCTTATTTCAGTTTGGTTGGTTTGGTGGAGAAGATGGCGCGAAGTTTTTAAACCAATAAAAGAAGGAAGTAAAACAAGAAAATGCAACCAAGGTTACTTTCCAGTTTCAATCAAAAATCACTTTTTTTTTACCGTAATAATAAAAATTCCTCACCATTGGATCTTTTCAGGAAATGCTAAGACAAGAGGCAGTCGAAGCCATAGCGAAACTAAAGATAAGAAAATTCAGAAGAAGAGTAAAAGACTCGTCTCGTTATGCTATTAAACAAGTTGAACAGGAGAGGAGAGATTCTGAAGTGTGTGCTGTTTGTTTAGATGAGTTTCAAAATAACCAGGTAAGAATCGATGAAACAGAATGACCGACGCTTGTCCAGGACGTACCTTCAGTAAAACGCTACTTCCTCTTCTTTCCCTTCTAACGACTTTTTCAGCCATTCCGTTTTCTCAGTTAATTGTATATAGTAAAACAGAAAAAAGGCCAATCATGCGAAAGAGCTTTAACCCTTCAACTCCTAAGAGTGACCAGCATCTAATTTCTCCTTACATTATCAACCCTGAATCAAACATTAAGGTCACGAGTATTTAGGAAATGAGCAGCAACTAAAGCTCTCGAATGTGAAACAAATTCTTCCTGTTGACACCTCAGGAAATATATAGAGAACAGTATGGAGAATATACATACTGATGTTAGGTCGTAAGGGTCGGTTAAAGAACTAAAAGTAAGTCCATAGAACGGACTTAAAGTGTGGTAGAGTGCAAGTGCCCAAGTCATCATTTAATTTAATTCTGAATTTAATTGTGGATTGAGAAGGATGGGCGCAGCTATTTAAAACCAATCACAATAGTGTATCGTAGTGAATTAATGCAATCTTGGATTGCTTTGAGACACTCAAAATAAAATTGCTAGTTCTGGCTTGGCTTTAACATCATCCATGGGTAGATAGCTGGGGTAACGGACTATAAAATGTGATATAATTGCAAAGTAAAGTTTGTAGGAATTGTAACCTCAATTCAACTTGTTTCAGCTCGTGCGCACTTTGCCGTGTGGTCACGAGTTCCATTGTGAATGTGTGGATCGTTGGTTGCTGGCAAAGAGGACCTGTCCATTGTGTAAAGGAAACATTTTAGGTTAGAGCTATGTCACTTTTTACGTAATAAATCCGTTCACCTGAGAAAATTGTTCTCATCTTAAGTCCTAATCTAATCATTGAGCGTTCTTATCTGCGAGAAGTTTGTACCCTTGCCATTGTCAGTTCCTAGATATGAGTCACTTTTGTCAGAGACTTGTCTGTAATAATTTTGCAATGATCCGCTTTTATCCAAACTGACCTCATAACTCTTAAATCTGAAATCATGGGAACATTTTGAAACGTTTGCTTTTAATTCGACAATTTTTTGTTCAAAATCTGAGTGTTTCGTCACCGACAGAATAGGCCCCCATAGGCAACATGGATCCTTAAAAAGACAAATTCCACAGCTCCCGAAGCTTTTGAAAATTTCACTCTACTGTTTCCTATCTAGATTGAGTGAGTGTTTAATCCAAATACTCAACCTGTTTTGTTTAAAATCAGAATGGCTTTGTCGTTTGGATACCAAATACCACATAACAAGAAACAACATGACGGAGACTGTGGAGAACGAAACAGTTCAGCGGCAGCTGGGGACACTTCGAACGTCTCCTATGAAGTGCTCTACTAAAAGAAACAATATTGCGTCGTCAAATGCTAACTGTGATACAAACGAGTTTTTCCGACGTGGAACCAGGATATAGATTCTCAGGTCTTGAGCATTTTGGAAGGGGTTTGCGAAAGACATGCTTAAGGTATTGGAAATATAGAAATGTTCGGTTAGAGATTCTAGATAATTTGATTCATCATCGTGTAAAGGAATTCACTTAATAAAGCAGTGAAGCTCTTTTGATTTACCCAAGAGTTCTCGTGGTATGTCAAAAAAAGGTCACGAAAGATGGGACGATTCTCCCTATCCTTCGCCACCATGCCATTCTCGGAAAATATTGTTTAAAGCAGGACCTACGCTCGTGTTAAAATAGAAAGCAGTGGTCTACGTTCCACATGAGTAGACACGGGCAGAGAGACTGGGTCGAGTACATCAAAACGAGGCTTGGTGGTAAACCTATAAGAAAGCATGGGAAGTTTTCTCTTGACTTGGATATACTGGTTGACTTGATGAATGTGGCTTTTCCTCTTTTTCATTATATCCTAACTGGGAAAGCGTTTTACTTCTGAGAAGGGAACTCGTAAAAACAGCAGTAGAGAAATATCTACTAGCCTCAAATTCGTGCACTTGTCCCAGTTTACCGGCTCACGTCCAGACAAATTAGAGCGTGGGCAATGTAAAGTCATCTCTTAGGACCCCGTGGCGGTCTTTCTCAGTCGCAGACCTACTGACGGGAAAAGTGCGGCTTGTATTTGTACTGTCTTTGCCAATTGTCTTATCTATTAATTACTACCACAGTTTACTTTCATTTCTTAATGTTCGCGTTGCGCGCAAAGGCGCCTCAAAGTTTGCGCCTTCCGTGCCGCTGGCTGTTATCAGCTAAAAGCTTTTATTCTGCCTTGCCTATAATCAACCCATTAAAATTGGGGAATAAAATGACAAATATCAACGACGGAAAATATGAAATTCGCCGAGATGAGTCTATGGAAGATGTTTATCTATAAAAAATAAAGACTGCGATATAATCACTGGATAAGCACCGGTTAAATGTATGCGTTTAAAGGAGTCCAAAGAGAAAGTGCAAACTATACGTACCCAAATACATACATTCATTAACAGAGATTTTATTCATAACGCCTAGCCGGCAAACTTTAGAGAAACGATGCAAAGAACGCCTGAAAGAGGAGTTTTAGAGTGGGCCCTGTATGAAATAACTCCCGAAGAGGAAACAACTACAAGCTGAAAGGATCTCCACAAATTGTGTAAGATCTGGTATTGTATTTTTCTACGGATAAGAAAAAATATCGTAAAATTAGAATACATTATGAAATCTCTTAGGACTATGTTTGGTGTTGCGGGCCTGACGGATTCCCCTTTGTCAGGTTAGTAAATCGCGGGCAATTTTTACAAAAGTTTGCAGCAGTTATAGAGAAACATTCTCAATCGCAACTTGTCCTTGTGGATGATCCAGTTCGTTTCGTTTTAAGTTCTTCAGTGCTTCACCATTTGTAGCAACCGTTCTGCTCTCCACTGACCCATTCGCAGAGTTTCACATTGTTCCGAACTCAACTTAAACTGCCACGTTTAAGATCATTCTGTGAATTCACCCGTAACCATGACGAATAATAGCCCCACAAAACGACTCGTTGCAAACCGGTCAGTTAAGAAGTTCCATTTCACTAAGAAGAGAGCCAACGATACCAGATCTATCAAGCTTATAGAGCAGACATCTAAGTAGGATGGTGTCAAACGTATCAGAGAAGTCTAGAGGAACAAGAGGTAGGCTTAGTTTCCCTTGGTCACCGGCGAAGACTGAACTAAATAGACTGAATAGATGTCCTTGGCTCCGAAACACAGCGCAATATGATATTTCTATGCTAATTTACAAACGATTGATGATTGTGGAATTTTACAGCAGTTGTCTCAGTCTATAGTTCTTAAATCCTATCTAGGAAAAAAGGTGTTCAGTTGGCACATTTTCACCTACTGAGCTGTAAACTGTAAATTTTTAACATTTAAACTATAAATTAGTGAAAATCTTTTCACAAAATATCGGCTGAATATCTTCATTATGTAACAGAAAAACGAGTGACAACACTGTTAATTACTCACGGCTGCTTTCAAAATGTCTCGTTTGGACTATGTGCGGCCCTCATTAGGAATTGACGCCAAACACAAATACAAAACGCACATCTTCTTCTAAGTAGCTTCGCAAAAACTCTGGTGAGCGACTCGATAATCGGGCAGGACACGCGAGGGACTAGAGACGAGCTCAAGGCGGAGAACAAAGAGACATCTGGGAACCAGGCAGTAAAGAAAAGATTAACACCTGACGCACAAGGTAACCAAAAGAAGGAAGGCTTTTTTTTGAGTTACACAGTCTCCTTTTGTCACATATTCGCCAAATAAGGCTAGCTCTCTCTTCTCTGTCATAACTTTCACCATCTCACTTAATGCTAAGGATCCATGCCTCGCAGAAAGTAATCAAGGAAAAACAGTTATTGTCGATATGACATTTCATACGCAACTACAGCTGACGTTTGAATAGACTATATATTAAATGGTCTAAATTTTGTGAAACATTAGTCGTTGCGCCGCTAATCGGCGAATACTCATTGACTGTTGGAAATGTAATTGGGAATTCACACGAGACCCGTGTGACAAAGCGAAACATTTTTTTGCACAAAATTAAAGTTGCTCTCCTGTTCTGATACTCAAAGAAAAAGGATTATAAGTATTAGACGTAGTTTTAGAAATGTATATATTTTCTTTTTCAACAAAAGTGTTTCTTCTCTTTCTTACTTAACGGTATCGCGGTAAGAAGCATTCCTTTTCCGAGACAGTAGTTTCCTAGACTTCTGTCAGTTTTCCGATTCCGCGATGCAACTTTCTCCGGCTTCCGATCCTCGTTTCCGCGAAGATAACGTGAGACACTCAGACATTTTTAACCGCAATAAGGTATTAGGGAAAATATTTTTTCTTTCATACAGAGCCCTAATAATGTACACCGGGTCACGAAACTTCTGATACGTGTTCAAGTGCTTCCTTTTCGCACCACATTGCGGAAGTTTATGTTGTGGTTGCGGTTGTGCTATATTGTTCAGCTACGCCCTCCGAAATTAACCTCAGAATGCAGAGTCACGTTCGTGCCGTTTTTGGCAAGGAATAAGTTCAGCTTCTCTTAACATTCAATATGAAACTGAAATTCTTATAGCGAAATATCTAGATAACCAAAGAACTATGGACAACGGGCATGTTTTCCTCTGAGTTCAGATCACTGTGCGGCGTAAAAGCAACACATTGACGTTTTCCTTTTATTAATCCTTCAATTAGCCATCAAGGATTGATGGATTGCGTCAAACGTCTTTTAAGCTGGTGCCACGGGGCGAGGTGGAAAAGACCAGGTGTAACACCTGAATTTTAGTTTCAATATTTAAGTCTTGACTCAGAGATGAATGGTCGAGTCCCTAGCTAAACTTAATAGCTTGTAATGTATGATTGGACAAGTTTTTGCCGCTCTCGTTCACAGTTTTAAAACTAGTAAAAGCGTGAAAAATAAAGTGATAGCAGTTTAGAAATTAGTAAAATAAAATGGCTAAATTGAACTATATTACGTGCGCTTCGAACCGAGTTAAATACAACCAATCGTTAAATGAGGTGACACTGGTCGTACATGTCTAAGTACTGGTGGTGAACAAAATTGGGGTTGTTTTGTTCGTACGATGCCCAATAAAGGCCAACTTCTAATTTCCTTACACCCGTATCAAAACATTGACTTAGGAAATAGGTGCTGCAAAAAACGGATTCGTCACATTTGAGGATAGTGTTTCAAAAGAAACCGTGATCAGTGGAAAATTTACGCTAAGTGCTGACGGTAAACAAATATCAAAAAGTATGTAAAAGAAATATCTGAGATCTGAGATTCAAATAGCGAGAGAAGGACAAAAAGCGTGAGTTATAACACAATACATCTAAAGGTTTACGTCAACAAAATGTTACCAATTTGTGCGAAAATTATGAGTTCGCTTAATCACAAGAAAAACCTTACGTCTTTGTTTTCTTTTCCTAAGTGATGGGCTTTCTGTTTTCATCATTTTTACTAAAGCAACAACACAGCGATCACTTAGATATGGCTTAGATGAAACAACATCTCAAAGAGTCGTTAAGCGCTGTTGTATCGTCGAGTATCCTCAGAAAGCTTACGGGTACTTAAAGTGTGAAAATGTCTCAAAGAATTCTAAAGAACATCGTGCGAGAGTAGAAAAGCATCAGTCTGGCTAAGGGGAACCGGCAAGATAAATGAAACACAGCACAAAGCGAGTGCTTATTAAAACAGCCCGCTTCGGGTTGGAGAAAATTGCTTCTCTTTTACAAAAGTAAAACGCCATTCATAAGATAACTGAGGTCATTAAAATTTCATAGGCTCCACTGAATAGTTTTTACCACCCATTTTAAAAATAACAAGCAAGAACACCGAACAAAAGATATTTCAGTTTAACATAAGTTTCGTGCGCGCAGCCTGGCGAAAAGTTGACATCATGTAGCTTGAAACCGCAAAATGCATTCAAAACAGACAATTTCTTGAGAAACTTTGCACTGTTTGTTTAGCGAAGGAAGACAATCAAGCGGCCCTGGACCAAGAGAGTTCTGCCGAAAGGAAGCACTTGGGAAACGAACGCCACATCAAAAAATTTATGGTAAAATTAGTGACTAATCTTAGTAAGGATTCTATAAGCATGCCGACAATATTTCAACCCTAAAATTTTCGGAAAACTAACTTCTTAATTTTAGCCGAATGTCAGAAAAACCTCGCAATTAAGCATCATTGAAGTCTGAAATTTTTCCTAACATTTCATTAATTTTTTTGCTATTTTAATCCATCGGAAGAAAGGCAAAAACGAGTAAATATCGGTACCCTTTGTGAAGTGCATCGATTCGATAACACACTATTTGATAATGATTAATTTCGCGCACACTAAGGTTTCTGTTGCTTTCCATTTCATTTCACTGCGTCGGCGAAGGAAAAAAAACATCACCAAAAGAACAAGCAGCTTTAAGCCGGTTTTTGTGGCGATAAAATCCCAATAAAGCCTATCATAAGAAAGCAGTAGTTTTCTTCGGCTCCATAAGCCACTACCAGCTTTCTCCAACGAGTTATTTAGATTAAGAAAAAAACTCTTTGCCATTTGCTCACTCAAGCTGCCAAACTAATTTGTTAAACAAAATCGCTCAATTTCGAAGATCTAACACGAATGGACAGAACGTTATTAGATAAAATGCAAAGCTCGGAGAAGGCGAGACACCGCGGCGCTTTTTCCGCACAATAATTAATAAATTTTAAAATTTATGACTTCGCTTTTTCGTACAGCTTAATGCATCACTCTCGATTTACTTCCACTTTCCAATTCTTTGGCGGAGCGCTGGGAAATTAAATTGCACGTCAAGACTGGCTGGCGCAAGTGCTGTGAGTCACTCATTAACACGGTACACTTGAAACCCTTTTAATGAAAAAAAATAAAATTGTATTTGCGACTTTCTCATGCAGCCAAATGATCACATTTGTATCCGTCATAGTCCAACACACCATATGAGCACACTTTCAGTTTCTTAGTTTAAATGGACTTTTTCAAAAACAAATTGTTTATTTGAGCTGTTTCACACTCTCCGTTGTCCCCAATTTTGTTTTTTTCTGAACACAATTTTCACAAACCGCCCTCTGCTTAGGACACAATTTCCTGAGTCAAGTGAGCCCAATTACAGTATTTAATCAAAAGATGAACATCGCAATCCCTTTTAAGCTCGAGGAGCGTGGGATGAGAAAGTTTGCTCAATCTGAAAACATTTCGCACAAGGACGGGGGAGACACTCAGAATCCTGGCTCGTAAAAGCCATCTCATATGGTTAATTTGCCTCATGTTGCGCTGCAAATGGGGCGATTAAGAGCTCCTGGTTGGAGTCGCGAGGCAACAAATTGGTCGTATTAAAATTTAGAGAATTGCCCATCGCCGACGTCATTTCTTCCACGATTTGCAGTAGCATTTCATTTCACCAGGTCTATTTCTCTTTTTCTTTTCTTCAGGGTTTCTCTTGTCTCCTTTACACACGCAACATAGTCATGTGCAAAATTAAATCCTCACAAGAACACTCTGGGATACCAAAGTCTTAAAATTTCAGATCAGCTCTGTCCGGGGCCAGCTAATTTCGTCGGCAATAACCTTAGTTGCCTCGCGTTATTAGACCTATTGCGGTGAAACAAAGTTTCAATTAGCAGAGGCTATTCAACAGCATGCGGCTCAGTTCAATTATATTTCCAAAGCATTATTGGAGCGGTACGACGAAAAGGACATTGAAGCATAAAATATTAAAACGTCTCTATGGATAAATTGTCAAGGGAAAAAATACATTTATAAATGTATGTGCATACTGATATATACATATATATTTATATATATATATATATATATATATATATATATATATATATATATATATATGAGTCACTGCTTGCCCATATAAACTACATGAGAGGCTGGATGAAATAATTTGTAAAACGGGTTAAAAAAAATAAACGCTTTCTTTTGGTAGCATTCATGTAGCTGTGTTTTTAAAAATACAAAAAAAATGAAAACATAATTTTCCATTGGAGTTTATTAGAATCGAAATTTTGCAAAACGCACAAAATCCGCTTAAAAGAAATATTGATATTTTAATAACTTTCTTGGCCTAATGAACGACCCAAAACAAAAGCGAAATACCGCAGAATTGAACTGCACAATGACACGGCTGAACGAAGAGATTCTAAGCCGGTCGGTGCGTTTTCAAGAACGAACTCGTCGTTTTTTTCGGATTATTTAATTAGCATTGCAATAAAAAACGCACAAAGAGGGCTGATAAATGAGAGCTTTCCTAGCTCCGCCTCGGCAGGTTTTAATATTTCGCGCTCGGCCCCTTTGTTCAACAGCGGCTCGCTTTCAACTGGTTAAGTGAGCCAGTAGATCGACGTAGAACTGAGCTGCAACTAATGGACACATTTGCTCAGCCAATTTAGCTTAGCCAGCCGAATGAGGGCGTCAGAGACACTTTGTTTTCTGGGAAAAGTTAAGTTAATCCACCAGGCCAGACCATTAATGATTTTTTAATTATTTTTTGACAGATTAAATGATTGATAGACAGGGGCGGTCTCTGTGGCGGTCAGTTCGGACCGGCGCGTAAAGAACAATAACAAAAAGCACACGAGTAATATTCAACTGTGCTCATAAACAACAGCTACCCCCAAAGGAATCACCTCCTTTAGAGGTCCTGCGGTCGGGAAACAGTTTAATAACTTGCTAAGCAGCCGTGTCGTTCGCGACAATGTTCGAGGGACATCCGCGCTGATTTCGCTTGAATTTAACTGGAGTTTTTAGGATTTTAGCCTGGACTAGCGATGAAAATTTCTACGCCGATCGCTTGGTGGCTGATGGTGTTCTTTCACGCGTGGCCGACTGTCACACTCGCACTTGAGAAAGCTCTTGTGGAAGTTGTGATCTACGAACACTCGTCCGGAGGAGATTACACGACACACACATATGAACTCGAGGGCACGTTTTCACACGCTGGAGCTGCTACAAGCGCTGAAGGCGATATACTTCAGGTGAGTGTTTCTCTTGCGTTTTACTACTGAATTACTCCGCACAGATCTTCGCGAAACACCGATCGAATTCGAACGAATTTCTACCGCGATCAGGCTCTTCCTGTGGTTTCCTTTATCTCACTTCGCTTCGATTTAATCGCGCGCCGTTCTAGAGATTTTTTTGCGTGTGATATTGCCTGGACTTCGAGCGAGTAATTTCGATTTGTTTACTTTGTGCCGGTCAGAAAAACCCCGCATGCATGACATTTGGAGTGCGACGCTTCACTTGTTGTTGGTTCGATTTAATGAATACAACGATCACTTTCATTCAAAGACTCGGCATTGGTCTTGCCATAATTATAATTACCCTCAAGTGCTGTCACGAGAGCGAGCCGTTTTTTGTCTGCGATCGGACTTAATACTGGCTTTTGTTGAAATGCGATGTCTGTTAGCTCGATTAATGTTCATTTCACTTGGCGACAAATAGTTTACTCGTGGTTTCATCCATGATGCGAGCGCGCCGCCGTTCCCATGCGAAATTCTATTAGCGCCTTTGCGAATATCTTCTTTAGTATCTCACGAGTTAAAGGCTCTGTAATCTATTGTTTTTATTTAATAAAAAACACGAGAATCTACGCGCAGGAGTCTTGCGTTGTGGACGTGACTGTCCTTCGCTACGGCCTGCAATCAATTACCTTGTAGTTTTCAAATCGGATTGTGTTGGTTTCCGTCATACAAGCGGCGGAATGTTTTGGGTTGGCGTATATGCGCTCGGGGATTTATTCAGGCTGTAGTGTATCGTTTGCTGAGATTGAACAGCTTTAAGTATTCCTCTTAAACACGCCAGTGTTTCTAAAGGAAGGGGTCGATAGGTCACTGGTGTGTGTACTCTCGGTAAGATTTGTCAGAAACAGCGTTTATTTGCATGCCGGAAATACGGAGCCTTTCGAGCTCAAGAGCGCGCTTGATTCAAGAGACAACACTAAGGAATGGCAGTAATTTTCACCTTGATTGACTTCCTTTGCCGTTTCCAAAACACTCGCGGTCGCACAAGCACCTCATCATCTAATTCCTTCAACAATAAGTGGGTTAGCTAATAACAGCAGCGAGATTCTTTTCATTCACACGAGTCCGTTTTAATCTCAAATCGATATACCGTCTGTACTTATAGCTTTGTGATATTACGACCAAAGCCTATCGAAGCACTTGACCCGCGTGTGTTTAAAGTCGGCCTCGGTCTAGAGCACATTTATTATCGTGTTCAGTTCGAGTTTATGACTATTCCGAGTTGACAGATACGATCTGGGATATCCAAAGAATCGTGTGCTCGACTGAGATAAAGTCTCCTTGCTTACACAACAGACAACTCCAGGGATTACTGGTCTTTTACTAATGTTTATAGAGGAAATCAATCTTTGGAATTATCGGATGCTTAGAAACGCTGCCGCTATTTCATTTCCCTGAAACATAAAATTGAAGGAATCTACGGACACGATCGTTCACCCAAACTATCGCTGTAGAAATTTCTCTCAGCGCTTTGTGAAGTTTTACTGTAAGGCGCATTCCGCATCTTCACCAAGTGATGATTAGATTTTGTTATATGCTCGTGGAACAAAAGGGGGGCTTTACGCTAAACCACAAAGAGCAAAAACGTGACAGAAAATGTGGCCTTCACGTCATTAAAGCAAACGAAAGCGGCGTCGAGTAACTGCGACTTCCCTCCGTCACACCAAGAATATAATAAGTTAGGTCCGCTCTGTGTTTATTCACCGAGGGCCTGCAAGCACAATGCTTACAATTACAATTCAGGCCTTACACAAAGCTGTTATTGCCGCTAGCTCAAGATAATTAAAGGAGCAAGAAGACCTTGAATTAAATCTTGGACAATACAATCATTTAGCGTTTATATCGCTATTGTTGAGGCGGTGTTTCTATAGGAAGCCCGTCAGAGTTTGATGACCTTTTTATTTTCCATTTCTGAGGTCCTTAAACTGCATTCTAGAATTGGTTGAGCATCGATTCGAACACGCGCTAAAAGAAAATCGAACTCGATGCGGTAAACGATGTATTTCGCTTCTCAGACGCACACGAGTTTGTGGCTTATCGCTTTAATAAAACTGACGTCAATTAAGCGTTAGTACGAAAGTATCTCTCCGTGTGACTGTCATTCGAACGATGTACTGCGGGCCAAAATTTAGATTTGCAAGAGTCCAGGGAAATCACATTTTCATAATAACCCTTTGTTATTGTGAATTCATTATTATTGTTTATCGAACAAAACTTATTAAGTATAACTCTTTTGGTCATCTCTTTTTAATGAAAAACGAGTCGGCTCTTTTTTCCTCTTTCTCTTTTTCACTTTCAGCTCCAAAGAGATGTCATTTTGAAGAGAAATTTCTTTACACCTTTATGGCTTTGTTTTTTTCGGTTTCGCCTTCAGTCAAGTCATAGAATGTTTTAAGCGATAAAACACGTGGCTTTGTGAAGTAATGTGACCAACAAATTATAGCGGCACTGTCGCGTTCCGCTCTATTTAAAACAACGCTAAATCGCCCCTGTACTATGTCCGCTTCGGAACCGCTCTCTCTGTGGCTGCGATAATCGCGTCGCCACAAATCATTTCCGCGTACAAATGTCCATTACTTCGGCAAGCCAGAAACATCTTTTTTCTTAAGCTTTATCTCCAGACCAAACTTTGTGGGGAAGCGGGACTGATTGCCCAGGCTAATTACACTAATGGCTTTTCCAGAGCACTTTGAAAAGACTCGTCAGCAATCACGATTTCGGTATCGCGACGTTGTCCTTTAAGAAGATTAACGCAATCACTTCGAGTGATGTCATGATAGCATCGAAAACAATAACACTGCTTATCAGCACCGCGAACAACAACGCGTATCATGCAAGGCCTTTTGTCTGAAGGGAAGTTATTAAAAAGTTGTTTTTCTTCGCTTCCAGGGAAGGAAATTTAAGATTTTTCATCGCCGAGCATCACAGCTGGACTGAGAGCCTTGCTAAAATTCTTAGAAAGATTGAAATGCTTGGTATACATTTAGAGAAAGACCTCTTCAAATAATTGCAGGGATATCGATATAATTACTCGCAGGGGCTTTATTTTGAAAACAATCTTTCAAGAAAGGATTTTGTTCAAGTACCCGTGAAATAACCACTTGCGATCTGCCGGCAGGGCGAAAATGTAACACCGGTCACCACGTTTCTTTGGGAAACTTAAAAAAAAATGCCGTAATTCGTAATAGCCACTTTTGCAGTTCAATTACTCCCAGCGGACGAGCAATTGTCTGGCTTCAACTTCGGAACATTTGTGGCCCCTCCTGACCAAATTAAAATTGACCTTAGAATTGAACGAAAGTGCGAAGCGGCTGATTCGCCCCACTGAGTTTGTAATTAAACCTGCGGTTTTATAGTTTCCACTGATTGAAATAAAATCCACGTCGAGAACGCAAATTTTGATTAGGCTCGTCCTTTGGTGTTTTGTAATTTGAGCCGTTTTAAGAGAGCGGCTTGTTTTTTTTTTGTTCTCTCCGTTAAAATCTTTATTAAGTTCTTATAGCGTGTTGTGTAAACATTGTTTCTGATATGTTTGTGTAACCGAGGACCTTGATTTATTGCGATTGTCATTCATATGATTCTCGTTTCTTCTTTCCTCAAAATTATTGTTGTCTACGAGTTTCGCTCTCAGCGTGTCCTCTGCTCTATTGTTCCCAGGTTAAAAACTTTTGAACAGATAATTAAAAATGCGAAGGTCTCTGCGGCATCATACCTATCGAAAAAAAATTTAATTTGAAAACCTCTTCTAAATTCGGTTCGCCCATTGATAACTGTGGACCTTTACAATTTTGCGGTACTTATGTGTGAGGTGGTAAGGATGTTTACGCTTAAATTGAAAATGAAAGTTTCCGATCAACCCTTTTTGATGAAGTTTCGGCCTTGATTAAAACTTTAACACGGTTTTTCAATTCTTTGCCTTTTGAGACAGCAAATTAGTTTTACGGTAAAACAAGCCTCAGTTAATTGGAATTTCGTTCTTTTAATAACAGTGGTTTTTCATTTAACGAGAGCTTGCGAAAACCTTTTGTTTCTAGCACCGTAAACATTTACTCAGTTTCAAGACAGAAATAAAAACTGAGACTTAGAGCAAACTAGAAAATGATTATTTGCAAGTACTGTGTCCCGTTGAGAATTTTGGGGAAAATCAACATTATAAAAACAAGTTTAATTGAAAAAAGCAAAAAAAAAGAGATTTAATAATTTTGGTACCAATCTTTGCAATATTCCAGGAAGTTTTCTGTTATTTTTCAATTCAGAGGGAAAAAATTTAATTCAGAGAGTTTCCTCAACGAGACAATCTGTGTTGTGAGGCAATATTTATTTGCAATAAAGGGGTATCATTGAATTACATATTTCATTCAGTGCTTTTTGACATGAAATGAATAGAAACATCTTACTTTTTGATGAGTTCTTTTTGGAATGATTTCCTAAAAAACTGTTTATTTTGTGCTTTTTAAGACATTGGGATTCATGTTAAGCATCAAAATTTTGGAGAAAACTCTTAATTTTTTTTTTAGCACAGATCAGGAAATCCATTAACCTTATACATATTGATGATTTAAAAAGTGAATAAAGAAGACAATTTCTGTGCTTTTACACTTTGTTGAAAATGGTGTGGGCCTTCACAGGTACAGATCAAACTTTTAACGCAACAAAATCTCACTGATGCATGAAGTGAATAACATTTGAATATGACATTTCCATCACAAGTAACAAACCAATCTACTCATTTTCCAACATAATTTGAACATTACATATGGCTAGCAATGAAATTTAAAACATTTTTGTTCCATTATTCTTATCCAACAGATTCACCCACTTGGGTTGTGCAATACATCAGATGATGGCGATTTATATGAATATGGTTGGGTTGGTGTGGTCAAACTCATGCCGCCAGATGATCTTAACAAACCTTGCTTTACTCTACTTGAAAAGGTAATTCTCTTTTGCCATACCCTCAATCAATCCATCTCAAGTTTTGACAAGGTCTTTTGATTCCCAACCATGCCTCAGATTTATCTGAACTTGGATGGAACAGGCAGTTAACTTTTTTCCTGAGGCAACCTCTTTAACTTTGTTTCCAAAAAAAAAGTCTCCCCCCCTCCCCAGATTTCTGAGACAAAACCCATCAAACTACCATTAAATCTTGTAAGAGCCTGACATTGTTTAAGACCACATTGTTACAGTTCTTCTTTGAAATAGATAGACTGGAACACCTTGCATTCCAATCCCATGTGGTAACGTTGTATGGAAACACCTTCAAAATCTCATGAATAACTTATTTTTAATTGCACTAGCTAAGTCATTTATTTACCCTAATCACTCTTTGGATAAACAGCCATGTTTTCCTAAGCTGCACAAAGAGTGCAATCAATTCCAAATTAGTCCTTACAACTGGAAGATAAGAATGTAATTAAGGGTGTGTCTGAAAAATGTTTGCAAATCCAAGTTTTTTTCTACTCTTGCTCTGAAAATGTGGGTGTGGGCATGATAGTTCTTCTTCAGTATCACATTTCCTGCAGGAAGACTATTATCCTAGTTAATGGCAAAAACATCATGGACAAATTACGGGATTATGTAAACCATATGTGTACCCAAAACAATATGAAGTGTAAATGTGTCTAGTTGAAAACATTCCTTGCTCCTCCCACTAATATTACACACTTAAGTTGTTTTCCTGTTGTAAGACTTTGAAAAAGAAGGTTTATATTTGGGCTGTACTAGGTAAACAATTAAAAGTCAGGTCCAGAACGTTGCACAAATATACCTTAAGTAACAAAAATGAAGGAAGTATTAATTTAATAAGCTGCCTGTGGGGTTTTTCATGGGAACAAAGTACATTTAATGATTTGAAATAAAATGTAGAGACTACCTTACCAAAGTGCACACAATTTATTTTTTAATTGCTTACTTAAGTGTCTGAATTATTTGCTTTTTAGGTCAAGAGAGCTTTACAACGAGGAGCAACAGCCATAATTTTTGACATTACAGAGCATCCAGAGGCAGCCAAAGAGGTATGGACACAAATGATATCCTTCCTCTACAATAATCTATAAACCATTTTCCCCTTAACAATAAAGACCTCAGGATCAATAGTCTCCTATCTAAAGCAAAAAATATCAAACAAACATCTTGCTTAGACAGCAAAGAGGGCAAACTCCTTGGACAAAAAAACACATCAACAGCTGTTCGAGTTGTTAACCTTGTGATACACCCAGCCTTGCCGAGTAATTAAAGATGGGATTGGCTCCAGTTTCCAGACAGATTTGTTTTCTAGCAAGTAAATTAGTCGTCATAATTGCTTTTCGGTCTGTAATGTGAATCAGTCTAAAAAAAGTCACACAAATCATACATTTTATGATTACATCCAGTGAGTTGAAAAAATGATTGCCTTCATTTGTAAAAAGACACCTCAGAAAGTTCATCTTATCTAGTAGATAGTATCAAAGTCCGCTCATCCAACTTCATTAATCTGTGTTCCATATGCGTTGACCAGACTTTGTTACTTTGTCCTAACATGTTATAGTTGCGTTTTAGGACATTACTATCTGTAATCATTTTATAACATTGATATTTTTCAATATCTGCATTTTATTCATCCTGTTTTTAAAAAACTTGGCATAGTCCCTCCCTCAACATAAAAACAATCAGCTCTTAGAGATTCATATCAGTAGGAAACATAAGTGTTATAATCATGTTTTTAAAAATGTTGATTTAGAAATAGAAGAATCTGGATGTTGTTTTTATTCTCAGCAATACAATATGGCTTAAATAAATTATCATCCCTTTTTTCACGGTGAAGCCACTTCATGTAGGTAAAGCTAGTCTTATAGTGGAGACATCCCATAATCTACATCCAAAGTGACTAGAATACATCTTAAGACACACTTAACATTTTAACCCCCAAGAGTGACCAGCATCTAGTTTCTCCATACAATATTAGTCACAAATCAAACATTAACATCATGAGATTAGAGGAAATGATCACCAACTAAAGTAGTTCTTGATTGTGAAACAAATTCTCCTTGTCAGCACCTCAGAAAATGTATAGAGAACATTATGGAGAATATAGATGTTGGTTTTAGTGTGTTGAAGGCTAACTATGAACCATAGGTTTTTAACCATCTCTAGGGATTAGATAATTTGCCTGTGATATCTTCTTAACCCTTTAGTTAATTAGAATCAGTTTAAAATATAGTTTTAATTATTAACCATGTTATTTGATTCTTCGAATTAGTTGAATGCTGCAGAGGACAAGGTTGATCGACCTGTGGTGCTCATTGATGGAAAAGATGCCAAGAAGTTAATGAATATAGTGAAAAAGTAAGACCCCCTTTCTTCATATTGAACTTAATATGAATGAGTTCTCTTAAGTTTATAGTTGTTTACCTGAAATGTTTGTTTTATTGTTTTCATAACAGTCAACGAGTACCCAGAGCAAGAATTCAATATAGCGCTGCTGGATACACACCTCAGGTAGGAGTTGTTAATAATAAAATTCACTATTGAACTTACTTTCATTTGAAATAAATCTCAGATAAGTGTACAGGAAATTGCACAAATTTTATAGTTACAATTGTTGATGGGCTCTCATTTCTGAAAATCACAAAATGTACCACTTAGTAACTTATTGTTCATAAGTTGATATCTTTTACTATTGCTTTTCAGAGAGCATCAAATGAATACTTTGACATGGTTATTTTTATGACATTTTTCATTTTGGTTTCCATTGTATGCTTCATCTTACTGTTAAAGGTAAGACTAGATTTTTACTATCTGTTGTGAAAATAACTAACAAATACCACTGAACTTCTAGAAAGATAATCACCTTTTGACAGCAACCATCTCTCTGAAATAGCTGAGCTACTCTAGGGTTTAAATTTCCCCCCCTCCTCCACCCCAGATTGCACATTTTTGTTTCAATCACTGAATTGACAATTTAGTCATCAAAATGTAAAGTTGTCTATGTTCCTTTGCCAAAAACATATTCCTCCTTGCAGAGAGTTATCAGTTGAGCATATACCATGCCAACAAAGCAGAATGCTAGTTCGTTGGCAACAAGCTAGTCATGGTTTTGTAGTCTGTACTCTATGTATCAATATACTATGCTCTTACTGAATACTTCCCTGTAAAATTCCCCCTCTCTGTCAATATTCTGTAATTGTTACTTCCAAAAAAATTATTTTAATTTGAAGAGAAGTCCAAATTTTATGTGGATTGTAATATTTCTGAATGTAAATTATCCCTAACTGATGCTGTCATGTAATTCTTGTACCAAATCACTTCTTTAAAATTTTTTTCTTTATTTTTTAGATCAAATGGAGACAAAAACAAAAAGAGGTAGGCACCATAGATTTTAAAGTCCTTTCCATTTTATTTTACTGTCAGAGAATGAATGTATCTGTTATCAAGTCAGTAACACGTTTTATTTACATTACATATATTACATTTGATTGGCTAAATAGGAGCACTGAGTAAACAGTTGGTAATCACATAGCCACAGAGAACAATGACCATATCTTTCTATACTTCTATACTTCTGCCTTGTTCAGCCATACTTATTAAATAATCCAGATCTCTCCTCTCATCAAGTATTTGTTTTTTTTTTTCTGTCTGAAACACAGTCCTCTCTAACGAGAATGGCACTGCATGCTTTATCAAGAATGGAAACTAGAAAATATCATAGTGGTTCTTCAGATTCGTTGAGCACAAGAGAAGAAAATGGCAACACAAGTGACACTGAGAGCACACTATCAGTACACTCAGAAGGACGTAACTCCAAGTGTGTCATATGTTTAGAAAAATTTAAAGAAGGCCAGGTAATTGCTTCCTTTTTTTTACCAACTGGGTGATCACAGTAAAACAAGTCTGTTCCTGGAATTGTCTGAGTCTGTAGCACACATAGGCAATCCCCAAGAAAGAAAATAACCTTGGTTTTTCTATTTAACCCTCAATGAGATGGAACCACAATACATTTGCAACTTGTAAGGGAAAACCTTTCTACCGATTCCACCGTGGCACATTTAATGACAAGATGATTTTAATCTCAATTTCAAAAACAGTTAAGTTAAAAGATGAATTATGGTAGGTAAGAGAAACCACTACTCATTTCGAAAATTTCCTGAGCTGTCTAATAGATTCCTCTTTACTTAGCAATCATGTCCCATAATATTCAACGGTAAATACAGTATTATTGTGGCTTACTTCTGGAAGCTTTGGAAAGATTTCTGTATGAGCCCATTCTATCCTTAAACAAAGCCGTAGCCCCAAAGGCATGGTATAGCTTTCGCCATTGTTTCTTTGATCCGAGAACTGTAGGCACAATTAAGTACGAGGTTGTACGGAAGTCTTGCCGAAAATTTTACTAAAAAAAAGACATTTAATAACATCGTGAATTCCCTTTGGTTCCTTAATCACTACAACTGTCCATTCATTACCTAGAAATTTATAAAGTAAAAGTTATTCCCATTTTAACTTTCTCTCATATCTTTTCCAGGACGTTAGAATCGTTCCTTGCCGACATGAGTTCCACAAAGATTGTGTTGATCCATGGTTATTATCGAATTATACATGCCCCTTGTGCATGCTTAATATAGTAGGTAAGGAGGAACTTATTTGTATCAACTTTGTCACCGTAACTGGAAGGTAAAAACTAATTAAGGGTTTTATCCTTACCTATATTTTCTGGACAGAAAGCGTGCCGTGTTGATCGCCATCTTTGAATTTTATGGTAAAGAAAGCTACTTCCTCATTGGATAATTCTAATCCAATGCGCATCATTGTTTTACTGAAGGTAACTAGTTTCAAAATATGGCGGAAGTTTTGGCCAGGGCCAAACTGTTGCCCCGAAGTCCTTGATAACTGCTCAAAAAATTAAAGTCCCGTATCTACTCAAATAGGAGCAATTTTCCAAATAAAGATGAAATGGTTCTGTGGTTTGTTTTGTCTGCTCCCTTCCTACAATATGTTTTAAAAATATGAAATAAAACACTAATACTGATGCTTCTTCTCACCAGAGAGGGAAGGGACATCAAATAAACCAAGAAGAGCACGTCATTGGTTTGCAAGACGTTGCGGAAGATGTCTTTCTAGCTCGGATAGCATACGTTCTTCTATGACAAGTATTGCACAATACATTCCCGAAACTGAAACACACAGCTCAACGCAAAATCTCTCTTACTCCACCAATAACGAGGAAAGTAATATTCCTTCATCAACTGTAGTGAGCTTATCTTCTTCGCAAGAACATTTAAATAGTGATAATATTCCTTTACAAGAACTGAAAATGAACTGTGAAAATCACTCTTCGTCACTGTCTCTAAGAAGTTCGAGCTCGCAAGGTTATATGTCACCATATGAAGAGAGAAAAACTTATACACATCAAGTCGTGGTAGTGGCCCCAATTACAGGTTAGTTTTTGTCTTATTTTGCGATCATCTCACTGAAGACACTAGCTTTTATAACTCAGTTCCACAAAGTTATTATTTTCATCCCAGACAAATGATGTTTCAAACACCATTCAGTCGATTAGCGTTCAGTTAACGTGAAAAAAGAAAGAGTTAACGTTTAAAATCAAAGTTTCCGTACGGGTTGGACTTAGCCCTTCATCACTGGAAAATCCATTTCGTTGTTTTCGCTTTCATGCTTTTAAGTTTTTATGGGTTTGGGTCAAACAATCAAAGTGATAAGTTACGGTCATACAGTCCTTCTCTCTCAGCTTGGTACGTCGGGTGGGTCAGAAACAATCAGGTAATATATTTGCCAATTTGGAACGTGCACTGCAAATCTTGCGTAAAACCTGCAGAAAGGACTCTGAAAAAAAAACAAGAGGCCATAATGATGAGCGCCTCGTTTGAAAACAGCTGTCCGCCAGAAACAAGGTCTTTGATCGCCTCGAGGCTCTCCACAGAAAACCGTCACTTTCGATTGTATTTGACACCAAATGGTAGTAAGACCAAAAAATATATTTGTACGTTGACTTTTTACCAGGCGACTTGACTTACATATAGAGAGAGGTGGTTTAAATGAGTCACTGCAGTACAGATAAATTTAATTATTTTTGAATTTGCGAACCTTTGGCTCGATGCAGTAGACGAGGGTCAAGTCTACCCTTGGGTATATCGATGGAGATTGATTTCACTAGTGCATATTTACACTACCCACTCCCCCAGTGCAGCAAAATTGTCACTCCGATGATTTTCTCGATCAGTTACGAGCTTTTCCGCCTCCCTTCGGCCAAAGTCCCTCAGGACTACCAATTACTTAGGACTTTTTTTGATGCTTAATGGAAAAGTTGACCCGGAACAATGGGCCATTTCTTGATACGTGTGGTGGGGAATGGATTACTTATACTCTAACAAAGTCTTGTCGTGTAGATGTTAGCTGTTTGATCATGATTTCCTAAAATGTCTGTTCCACATTTAACACACTTTTTTCATATCTACTTTTATCCCCAGCCGACATGTTAGATGTGTCACAAGAAGACATAGTTTGACGCACTACACGAATGATACCAGCGGTGAAATGAGTACAAGGTTGGCTGTGCCTGAAACAGAAAAAAAGAAAATTTATTTGCGAAACGCTTATTTGTAAATATACAGAGAGTACTCTTGGACTATAAATCTATTTTCGGAGTTTTTTTTTTTTCCTGATCGAGCTTATTTAATAGATTGAACATTGACAAAACCGAATTGCTTGTATGGAAATAAAGATATACTTTGCCTTAAATCCCGCGATCCCGAATTAAATTCTTATCTCAATCCCGTGATCCCGACGGTTGATATCAGCCCATCCCGATCCCAATTATAAATCTCTCTCCCTTCTTACTTTAAATTCCCGGATCCAGGCCTTTAAATAAGCCCAGTACCGGATCCCGAAAAACCTATGGGGGACCCTCCATCCACGCACATATGATTCTCTCTCATGCCTTGCGCAACGCAAGCCGGTGAGAGGTTTGCAAGGGGTCTGGAACTGATAATAAGGAGCTACACCCCAGAAAACCTCTCCCCGACTCGACTCAAATCGGTAGAGGAACGCGCGTCCTGCAGCACTCGTAACAAGGGCCTTCTCGCAGGGTACGTTATTATTTGAAAATAATAAAAACTTGAGTCGACTCATTCACTCTTAACCTGCAGGTAAAGTTAATTTTGACGACTAAAAACCTCAAACCTCGCCTCACCAAATTCTTGGCAACTTTCATTACATGTAGATATGGAGTACTAGGGATATCCTTTAATGAACATCACAGCACTTTGATATTAGACTGTTAGGTAAATCTATCAAAATGACTGAAAGTAATTTTTTGATGGACACTGTTAACAGGCCATGTTATCCAACCCATTGAGAGCTGTGACACACTTTCACAGGTGCTAGCCAGAGAAAGTCAGTGCAATACAAACAATACAACACATATCTCACTGTTATTTATTTAATTATTTACAACTACTGTATGAGTGGAAATTTGATAAGTTATGATGCCATGTCACTTTACACCACTAGTACACAATTTGAGTGCCTTATTGACCTAGTGCCCTTCATTCATTATACAATAGTTTTGATTGCCATAATTTATACTGTCAGTTAAAACAGCCTCCACACCTGAACTCTGTGTTACAAGTAATTGTTAAGTTTTTCTTATCTCCCAACTCAAATACCCTCTTACACACAGCATGATCAACCAGAAAATGATGTTTGTTATCATCTTTTCTTCACATATGCACCAAATGAGTCACAAACAGTATTTGCGAGTCCTTTATCAATCATTCAAGTGGTACACTATTGAGCCCTTTAAAATTTACTGTTAAAAAAACCAAAACCGTAGTAATCACAACGACCAATCAGAGGAAAGGTAAACACCTTTAAGAGCCAATGAGAACTCAAAGTAAAACCAAACTGAATTAAGAGCAGGAATTTGTTGTGCATCTGGTGGTTGAGAGAATGGCTCAAGTTTTCTAGACCAATAACAGAGCAAAGTAAAGCAAAACCAGTGCAATCCCTGATTACTTTTGACATTCAGTTGAAAAATGTGCTACTTATGTAGCTTGCTGATGACAATAATGAGGGCAATAATACCCTGATTGCATTTCCCCTTTTTGTGAAGTTCATCTTTGTTGGTTCTTGCCACTTAAATTTCTTTCTTTCCTTCAATTCTTGTTGGAACGCAGGCATACAATGATGATAATATGTTGGGATGATCACAGACCCCACTAATCCAAGTTTCATCATTCGTGTTGCCATAAATTAATCAAAATCAGCTAGGATATAGGGATTGTTGTTCGTCTCAGACATAGCTTCAGATCATTGCAAATCAAATCCATATAACTGATAAGTATTCATCCGAGGGCATAAATGAGCATTAGAATGATGCATATGGAGATAACACTAGCCAGTATAATAGAATCTCGTCTTTTCCTGACATTTATACGCTGAATTAAACTATTAAGAGCAGGAAAACGAGCTAAAAAAGATGTTAAGGATAGCAAAGTACAATCATCACTCAAGAGAAATCTCTTGTTAGCACCTCTAATAACAATAGTAATAATAGTAAAGAATAATTTTGGTGATAATACTCATAATAATATTGATAATAATTATAAGATTTTTCACAAATGTGTCTAGGGGTCTCAACTTGTTTGAACCAAAAATAGGATACAAAAACCAAGACATATCATGGTAATGTCCATGACAATAAACAATAGCCAGCCTATCTTTCAAAGGAAGGCAACTTAGGATCACATTCATTGATAAAAATATCAGAAATACCAATGTAAACTAAATTATAAAAAGGATACTAGTGACAGCACTTAATCGGCTGGTGACACCATGAAGAACACCTCTTTGACTCTGAAGATTTTCTTTGGTGGCCAATGCAACACTACAGTTCACAGAAGAAAAAAAATTGGTGAGATTGAAAAATTAATACATTAGCAACACAGGAGAAACTAATTCACTACCCTGTAATCCTTGCGGGGTATCACAAAACGTAAGCAAACAAAAGAAAGCAGAAAAGTCATTTGGAAATTGTTTAATAGTAGATAATTATTGATCCTTTACATCCTAACCATCGCTATGCATATTCTCCATACAGTTCTCCTTCATTTCCTAAGGTGCTGATATGGAGAATTTGTTTGACAATCAAGAGCTGCTTTACTAGGTGATCATTTCCTTATTATTGCGACCTTCATGTTTGATTTGGGGTGATATCGTAAGGACAAATTTGATACTAGTTGCTCTAAGGAGTTAAAAGGTTAAAGCAGTCAAGTTTTAATAGTTCAAAAATAAAAATAAAAAATTCTGGATATTCACTGCCTTGAGGTTATGTAAGGGGTATACTGTAAACAGTAAGAAGAATTGCGAACAGAAATCAAAACAAAACTTACCCTATCACGTCATCTGCCAGTCGATCTGAACTAAGATATAAATCAAAGAAAGAGTTAGTTTTTTCTCTTTGAAGGTAAAAGTTGAGAACAGGAAATCTCCAGGTTCCTTAACACGTAACCCAACTCAACTTTTCCTTAAAAAAGTGTGGAACCTAACTTGTAATAATGAAGCAAGTTTAACTGTCTAAACTTGGAGCAAACTTGCTGCTAACTCCCAAAACATAAACAACCTTCAGCACAAAAACAGTATACATACTTTCTAATATGTTCATTTTCTTTTAGGTAGAGGTCTGTTCTTCTGTTCATGCCAGTCTTGTATGCACTATCACAACATGCAAAAAAACATAGATAAAACATTTGCATTACCACTATTTGAAGTGACTCAAACATGTTAAGGAAAATCCATTTAAAGCCAATTTAACAAACAGTAGGAGAGTTGTTACACCCCAAAGGTTAGTATGGCTGGTAGGCTTGTTTCCTGCTCATGAATAAGTATTTTTATGAAAAGCTGACTCTAGGAAGCTGATTTTCTATTTAACACCAGACTTTCCTTGACAGAAGTCAATTACAACCAACAGATGATGATTGACAAGTTTAGAACATTAACATTTCCAAGTAATCAAACGAAAAAAGCCTTGCTTTACCAAAGACAAACAAAGCCATTGGACCACACTGATTGCATCTTTGAGGCCATATCACTGCCAAACTGACATGTGTTTCCACAAACAAGAGTTAAAACACAGGATGTTAAAGATGACTTCAGACCCAAGTCATCCAGGAATCATTTTTGAACCATTAACCCTTTACACACTGACATCAGTATGCTTATTCTCCATACTGTTTTACACACATTTCTCAAGGTGCTCACAAGGAGAATATATATAACAATCTAGAGCTTCTTTAGTTGAAGATCATTTCCTTTATTCTCTTTACCCTTATGTGTGATTCAGAGGTTATATTGTAAGGAGAAATTAGATGCTAGTTACCCTAAGGGGTCTAAAGGTAAAAGGGTGACCAGCATCTACTATTTCCCTGCAATATCACATGTACATATAACTCAAACATTACAGTCATGAGAATAAAAGATGTGATAGCAAAATATAGAAGATCTTCATTGTTAAAAAAATCCTCAGTGTCAGTGCCATACAAAATGTTTACAGGTTAGTATAGAGAACATCCATTCTGATGTTAGTGTGTAAAGGGTTAAGAACTACCATCACCCAAATGATCATGTTTGATCACTTATTCTTCAAACTCTAGCATTTTAGAAATCAAAGTGGACTTTAACATACAGAGAAGGATAATGTAACACAGGCCTGGTACATATGTACATGAACTCTTACTTGATATCTCTGTGTACAGATCCCAATAAATCTTCTCTGTCTCTGAAAGCCTGGATATTAGCCTAGGATAACAATATTAATAGGGAAATTTTCAGAAAGATTACATTTTTCTCAGAGTCTAAATAAGATGAAGCATTTATCTTCTCAGCTGCAACATGAAAAACAACTTAAAATGCTTGAATGTCCCGAAGTGAATCAGCCAATTGAGCCAATCAGAAAAAGTGACAAATTAATGTAAAAAAAAACCAATAACAATTCTAAGTTAACAAAGGCAAACTTCCCAAAGTGCAAAAATATGCTGGCAAACAAGTTGTAGATGGTTTCAGTTTTGCACTTAATTGATTGAGAAAGAAGCACAAGTTTTCTGAAGCTATCACAGTGTGAATTCACAAAAGCCAAAGCAGTATTGGATCACTTCCAACACTAAAATGAAACTTGCCTTAAATGAGAGATTTCAATAAGTACAGGAACGATTTATAGACCTCATCCAGAAAGGTCTAGGGTTAAATCCAATTCAAAGCAAATAATGTATAGTACCTTTGTTTTTGAAAATTCATGTGAGTAACCCTGTAGAATATCCCTATGTCTCTGTAATGTGTGGAGCTGTGTGGCATTAGGTTGGCCCAAGTTGAAGCCAGCAGTATATTCAGCCATTGAGTCATTGACTTCTGTCAACTGCAATTAAACAAATCAAGATTTCTAGAAGCTACACACAATCCATTAAATCTGTCTTTACTTCTCATGCTTGCAGAGTTTGTCTACACTTCCATTTAGCCAACAGTATTTTCTCCCTTTCACTTTGAGTCAAAGGGCCAGAGGCCGAAATAGGGTTAAACAATAAAAGTAAGTAGTTTACAATTATTGTGTTGATTTCCATTCAAAAAAAAAAAAAAGTAAAAATTTTATAATAATTTGTATTTCTTTCAAATGAAAAAAAAAATTATTTGTACATAAAGGGAAATTTCTTAGACTTCTGAGTGTTTCGATTGTGGGATAAAGGATGATGTTGGCCAATGGAATAGGAATATTGAGAACTAATATTACATAACCTAGAAAAAAAAATCAAAGCTATAAAATATAATATTGAATTGTCTGCGATATCGCTAACGAAGACAATCCTTGCAACGAAGACAATTCTTGCAACGTCACCACAGCAACTAAAAATTCAGTAATTGCTTACATTAAGTTATAATTATTCACGACCATATGGATACCCTCCAATAGCTGATATTTATAAAAACATCTGACTCATTTCAAAATCAAATGAAAAACTTACCTTGGATAAAAGTTGTTCAATTTCCAGTCCCATAGTTTCAAAAAGTCGTTCACTCGATGAACTGTTTAAAAGCGGCGATGTATCCGAACTACAAAGGAAAAAACAGTGAATAAGACATTTTGTGAGACTCTAGAGTCTTTTTGTATCCATTTTATAACAGTTACCTCTCTTTATAGCCATCACGCTGACTGTAGTTTGTTCCTAATTTGCTGAAGGAGACAAGTTTCAAATCTATTTCGTTTTCAAGCTGTCGCGCTTTCTTCCTCAATTCTGAGAAGAAAAGATAAAATATCACCACAAGAATGCAAAAATTACGGTCGTACTTTTTCAAAGGATAGATTAGCTCTACATCAAGATTAAAACATCCCAGAATTACAAAGAAAAACGCAAACCTTCCCATCTAGTTGGAGTGATTGAGGAAGCCATGTTTTCTGCATCATCGAACATAACTACAACTCGCTAAGCATCTTGGATACATGATACGTATCACTTTTGTAGTTAGCCGCTGCGCAAGCTGTTGTTTGACTGCCGGCTTGAACACTTTTGGCCAATCAAAACTCACTAGTTATCCACGGTTCGAAATTTGAATGAGAGTTCCATAACATTAAGCTATTTTTCTATAAATTTCGCGATCAGCTGTGTTTACTGTTCTGTTCGCTGATTAGTTAATGCGATTATGAAGGTAAGTATGCTATAAACACATGTCATAGGTACTGTCAGGATCGCTGCTGAGAGTTGACTACTTTGAAAGCCGCTCTTTCATATGCGAGTGAACTTCGCTTTGAACTGAATCGAAACATTTAATCTCATTCAAGTTAAAAGCTTTTGATTTGACTTGATTTCCTTTTCCATGGTGATCTTGCTCCTCATTAAAAATTGGTTACATTTACACTTAAATTAAGAGTCTCAAAATATGTCATGGCAGTGAAGAAATCTTATTTTAAGAGCGATTTCTGAGACAAAAATACCGAAAAGTCTCATGTAACTGTAAATCACCGGACAATCTGGATAAGTTGATGACTTTTCAAGAGTTTCCTTTCAAACAGTTTTATTTTATTTTCAGGTATTGGAAAATTTAACTGCAAATAAGCCGGCAGAAAGGAAAAAGGATGGTTCATTTGAAGAGTCTTTCCATAAAAGAAATAAAGAAGAAAACCTTGCTTTCCAAAGCATCATTGACGATTTAACCTCACTGAGTCCTTTGAATGAAAAAACAGGTTTGAATCTCATTCTTTGTAGAAGCCTAGTGCTCTCTAATGCCCCAAAGTCTTCGCATCTTGTGAATCTGAAGCGATTTTGTTAAGTAGCTAGTAGCCATTAAATCGTAATAAATAAATAAATAAATAAACCAGTAAGTCATTTTTTCTTTCCCCCCTCAAGGTGTTCCTTCCCATCATTTCTTTACAGATATTTGCCGCTCAATGAGGTCATGGTTTTGACACTCCCTGGGTATCATTTTAAGATGCATTTCCTTCAATGCAAATGGGCCTTAAAGCATTAAATTAAAATTATGGAACAAGGCTTTTAGCATCAGCCTATTTCTAGGGCAGGGTAACATTTTGAGTGAAAATTCTCTTTAAAAAGGGATACACATCTGAAGACTTATATTGACATGTACCCTCCCAAATATACCCAAGCACCTGCTTTATATTTTCTCCCTGATAACTTAAAACTTTCCAATTTCCATTGTAGGTTGGAGTAGGGTCAAGTGTAATTTGTGCAAATGACTTTCAATATCAATTTTTCACCTACTGCATGAGAATATTCCTGAATAGTGCAGTCTAAACACTCAAGTCTTAATCAGAAGCACTATCACTGACAATAAGAACTGTGGCTGTCTGAGCCTAATGCTCCCAATTTCTTACAAGGATCAAACATGTGAACCTATGGACATATGTCAGATTCTCAACAATACTGGAAAGGCTATGTGAGCATGTAGACTATCATGTCCTACCAGTATATTTATTTGTTGTGCAACCTGAGATTCGGCAATTTTACAAAAAATGGTAAATTTTAACTGTGGTCAAATGTGCAAAATGAAGAAATGTAGCTGCAGTTAGAGTAACAGCGATGTCTTATGATATCCAAGTGAAAATGACTTCAACTTAGGCTGTTGAATTACCTGTCAATGTCACTGAAACTGAACCATTTCAGTACACACCCTCACCTGGATAATCACAAGTCCAATTGGATTTTTCATGGCTCAAACACAACTGCATTAACTGGTAAATTGGTTGAACAATATGGTTCAATTTTCTACCTTTCTTTAATGTTTACATCATTCACAAGTAACTGTCAATTTGCATGGGTTTTAGCTTTTTTCCGAGGGGACTCTTCAACCATCACATCTCCACCTTGTTATCTTATGGGTTTTAAGATTTACATGACATGGAAAGTATTATATGTTATGCAAGAGATACTATGATTAAGTATTAAATACCATTTAAAGATAGGTTTTCCATTTAACTTACTCATAGCGACAGACTCATAGCCCAACATGAGATCACAGAGAGGTTAGTGATTCCTCTTGTTATGAGTCATAACACTTTAAATCCTTCTCATTGATTGCAGTGCTCCAGGTGATAGAAGCTCGTTTTCAAACAGGCAAATTTTACTCTTGGGCAGGTATGTCATCACATACTGATATCACTAAGAATTTCCATTCTTTACCTGTTCAACTTTAAAATAATATCACTAGCTCACCTGATGCCTGGGCATCATTTTTATTTCAATGTACCAGCTCCCAATTTTTTTCAACCAGCTTACATAAAAGGCCATAAAACCTGTATAGCATCCCTCTGAGAGTTTTTGATGTGGGACATGAGACTCTCTGCCCTATATTTTCCACTTTGCAAAGCTTCCATAAGGTAACGACTGATATTTTAATCTGATCCACAGGTGTTCCACTCATTGCAGTCAATCCATTCCAAAATGTCGCAGATCTCTATGACAGTGCAACGGTTGAGAAATACAAGAGAATTGGGCCAAGTGAAATAAAGGTTAAGGATCCAACACTTTGTCACATCTGCTGCGCTACATGAACTATTTGAAAAAGAATCATGGAGCTCCTTGTTCAAAGCACACATGCGGAGCCCCATGGTTAAGAAAATATGGTAACCTTCAAAGCCAAGAAAATTTGGTAGTCACGTAATAACATCATGGATAAGTCGCAATGCGAGCACAGTGCGAGACAATTACGTTGCAACCTGTGGGAAATTTAAATAAAGTGAGGGGCAGGAATTACTTAACTATTAATAGTGCTCTTTGTTCTGCTCGGTCGAAACTACGTTTTTGCAATCAAGTAAATTGTACAGTTAGTCAGGCAACCTAAGGCATATTATATGATGTACTAATTTGATAGTATATTTCATTGAAGGAATGCCCGCCTCATATATTCGCCATTGGTCAGAAAGTGTATTGCGATCTCAGGAGAGATATGGAAACCAAGAACCAGTCCGTTATCGTCAGTGGCGAGAGTGGCGCGGGAAAGGTTAGTAGAGGGAGTGGAATGGAAGTGTTTAAAATAATTGGAATACAGTTATTTACAAGCTTTATTATTTTTGCAGACATGGACAACACGAAAACTTATGCATTTCATAACTGATTTGACGAATTCGAGGTAAGAAGCCTTCTTTCATGTTGGAGACATTTTCCGATGTCATGCGGCAATTTTCCGTTTAGTTACTCCATGGCACAAATAAATACTAAGGTAAATAACATTTTCACCTTTTCCGCACAGGAAAGACGAGATTGCTAAAGTGAACAGAATTGAGCAAAGGATTCTAGATTCGAATCCCATTCTGGAAGCATTTGGAAATGCAAAGACCGTGCGCAACGAAAACAGTAGTCGATTTGGAAAATACATCCAACTTCAGTTTGATAGGTGAGAATTAGCTCAAAGATTAAATAAAAAGTCCATTTGTTGATAATATTGATTTCATAAAATAAGTATTGATTCTACTGTTCTTTTATCTGAGCAATAATTTTACCGGACTGACAGATTAAAGAGCAGGTTTTTTCCCCTCTTGTTCGTTCTTGGATTATGCTGAATTTTACACAGAGACTTCACAGAGAATTTTCGATGGGGTCACAATACATTGTTTTTGGATCTTTGTGGTTTGCCGTGCCTTGGTAAAGGTTTACAACACAACAATTAACTAGATGTACAGAACACATTTTTCTGTTGGGTATTCTGAGTAGGGTCAGGAGGAACAAAGGGGAAACGGTATACTAGAGTGTAAATGTTGATAGAGATGAGGACCTCAGAGTCAAAGTAGGAGCTCAGTACTACGGACTTTGGCTCTCGCTCATTTTCAAACCGCAAATATTATCTCAAGAAGCAGTAATAGTAATTAGGGAAAGAACGAGGATGTAAACAGACGTAACTCCATTAAGTCTACTCTGAATTGGTGCTAATACATTGTTGATTTTTCATAGGAACCAGAAGATCGTCGGAGCAACTATCAACACTTATCTTCTGGAAAAGACGAGAGTTGTACATCAGGCTAAAGGGGAACGAAAGTTTCACATTTTTGACCAGGTGAAAACGTAAACCGTCAAGATGTAAACTGAAAAGAGTCCAGAAATATCTGTTTTCTATCTCCCTTATTATGTTAATAAGAACCCTTAAATCCTAATTTCAAGCCTTTTCTCTTGCAAATTAGATGACTTCGGCAGAATGCCACCTCCAAGATTCTTCTTTGAGAAATGACGAATCAGCTTCTGCTGGTAAGAATATGTTCCCATAATGCACTGACGTCTCTTAACGCTGGCAACACACGTGAATAACACACCAGGAAAGAACTCTCTCCGTGTTTCGCGCGCGCGAGTTCCCCGAGGATTCCGGTTTGATTGAGCACCCCTCGCACAGAGTAGTTGATACTCGATGATGATGATGACTATTTTTTATTTAATTGGAAAAAACTGCCAGCAAGTTTTACTTTGGTCATTTTTATAAACCTGGAGTGAAAACACAGATTGACATATTGAGAGTTATCACTTCTATTTCTGTAAATTTTGAAGGTCACTTTTATAGACCCAGGCTTGCTTGCGCAAATGCATGCGAATGTGACGAGCTCCAGGGAACCCTGAATCTTAAGATTAGTAACAAATTACGAATGTCACCTTTTGAACTAATCTTAGAACCTTGCTCTAGGACTCTCTGACAAAGCTCGAGTGTTTCGAGCCGCGATAAAGTTGCGTGTTTGGAGTGAATTTTAAAAAATCAATTCTTTAAAATGCTTTTAAGAGCCGGAAATCTTGTGAAGAAAGATCGTTATCATCTTAAAGGATACGAGTTCATTTGATATGATTTTCTCTGCAGCTCTCGAAGCAACAAAGCAAGCGTTGGAGAATGTTGGAATTGACCATCAACTTCAATGCGAAATTTTTAAGGTAGGAACTGTGTATTTAGAAATTTCGATTGATGTCGGCGATTCGGACGAGAGATTGAAATGAAAGCCCAGTGAAAACCTTGTTCTAAACATGATCCTTCTGATGTTAATGTAGAATAGGGCATTATATTAACATGAAATGAACAATTAGACGCCGCCTCCGAGGTTCACACGAGCAAAACCTGCGACATAAGATCTGTTATTTCAAGACTCTCGGATATCTCCAAAAGCGGGATTGATCCGTAAAAATAACCAAGCTTCAACCACTTGATTTCATTCTCGTTTTATTTTATCGACTATTTTTCCACTCTAATATGATTTATCTCGATGTATTACTGAAAATTTATTCTTCGTTTTAGATCCTGAGTGGCATTCTCAAACTTTGTGATGTTCACTTTGCGGATGGGAATACGACGACAACGAGCGAAATTTGTTACGTTCAAGATAATAAAGGTTAGTGTGTACCAGATAAGTTTCTGAATTATTGTAAAATGAAATCCATTGGCCAAAAAAAAATAGGTCCCAGGGAACTCGTTCTATGGCGCGGAATTCATGAAGTGCGCCTCTTCAATTTCACCATGATAACTGAAGTACTGGTGTAATAATCAATGAGATTTTTCAGCCTTACTTTCATTACTGGGAAGATCACTCTCATATTCAAAGGGCAAATTGATGGAAAGATTGAAGTAGCTTCTATGGAGGTAAAAGGGACTGGGGCAAGGAATGGATGAACGGACAGACGAGCGGATGGACGGATGGATGGATAGATTAATGAATGAAACATATGAGTCTGTTGAACGCAAACCACAGTTTTGAAGTTAAAAGGAAAACAAAATACAAATATTTGCCGTAGGAACACCCTTGGCCATTCAGGAGTTGTTACTTTTTGTTCTGTCACATTGTGCTGTGTTCATTGCTCTTTAAACTGTCCGTTTCAGTTTCAGAAGTTTGTGATTTACTGGGAACCGAAGCGCAGTCTCTAGAGCAATGCTTGTGCTCACGACGAATCACAACGGGTTCCACTGGCGAACAGTTCATGAAGCCTTGTTCAACATCAGAATGCGTGGAGAGAAGAGATTGTATAGCCAAACTCGTCTACTCCAGGTATGATTTCAGTCTGGAATTTGATTACAGAATAGCGGCTTGTGCACGATGCCATAGAACTACTGACCTAAGCTTCCCC